TTGTTGATCATATAAAAAAGGAAACATATCTCGTTACTTTGTGATCAAAATAATATTTTACACTTATTTGTTATGTTATAATTATATATACGCATGGTCCCTATCTCATATGTATAAATAAGACCCAACCCACATCAATGTTTTGACCCTGCTTAATTATAAACACAAAAACATTTAGTTACAACCTCTTTCCAATGAGAGACTCTTCAACAACAACATCCACCAAATCCTCACCGTTATGGAAACCCTTTGCCTCAAACTGTTGCTCCGTAGATGACCAAACCATCTTTGGTAATCTAAGCCGTTGCCGGCCGTCTAGATCGGAGTTTTCCAAGAACCATCTAGGACCACTTCCTTCTTTCCGGCGACTCTCCTTCGCTGATCTTAGCCGTTCTTCTTCGGCTAGGATTAACGAAGATCTCGCACAAACTCTCGGAGCTGATTTAGTGGATTTTCAGATGTGTGAACTCAAGATGATCACTCAAAGTTTCTCTGCGAACTATCTTCTAGGAGAAGGTGGGTTTGGTAAAGTTTATAAAGGTTACGTAGATGAGAATCTCCGACAAAGCCTCAAGGCTCAGCCTGTTGCCGTCAAGCTATTGGATATTGAAGGGCTTCAAGGACATCGTGAATGGCTTGTAAGTACGTTTACGGTTTACCAATAGCATACCTGATTAATTATTAACGTTTCAATTTTGTTACTATTTTCTATATATTATTGTGTTTGATTAATTAATTTCTGTACATGACATGTTAATAACACGTATATTGTTCAAATACAATTCGGAAAAAGCAAACAACTCCTCATGGTTTGTGTTAGGGGTGGAATTATTATCCGTGATCCGAGATCCGATCTGTTATCAGTTCGGAATCGCTCCGAAAATTAGGATATCTGGAGAACCCGGATCCGGATAAGGATAGTAAAATCTAGGATCCGTGAAAAGAGGATCCGGATCCGGATAACAAAATTTTAAGGTCCGGATATCCGGATCTGGAATCGGACGCATTAAATGTATTAAAAACATATATATTATATATCTATTAAGCTAAGTTTATATAAATAAATATATATAAAAATTGATTTTAGTCCTTTTTATAATAAATTATATTTATAATGAAAAATACCATTAAAATATTAACTAATAATTTTTAAAAATATATTTTTATTTAT